AACTAACCTATCATGTCTGCGCGAACGACTGCCACGACGAGCATCGAATGAATAATCATCATCATCAATAAGCACAATTGCTTCCATAACTGGTGTCTCTCTGAAGATGCAAGAGATTTGAAAATATTAGTTTTTCGAAAAAAAAAGAAAAAAAACGATTAACAAATTATCAAATAATAATTTGACAAAAAATTATCAAACGATGATCATAGCATGATTTGTTATAATAAATCTGCTCATCCCTATGCTCTCAAAGCCTCGCCACCTTATCTTCTCCCTCATCCATCCCCAAAAAAAACTAATTTGCAAGACAGATATGCGGATGAAAGAGAAAACAAAGGGAGAGACAGAACAAAACGAGCGAGGGAAGAGAGAAAGAAGAGAAAATTAACCCATGATATGGACAATCCTTAAAGTTCAGCCTAAATTAGCGCTACTTCCGCTAATCGCTATTAAGGCTGTCAGCATTCTGGAGAATTATTTCAAGAAACAGCTACAATTGCCCGAGGGAAGTCACAGTCAGTGTGAAGTTCCAGGTCTACTGAGATGCAACTTTGATCGATGCAGCAATCCCAGAACTTCTCTAAGTGAACTATACATCTTTAGTTTTCACAGATAACTTTATCACTAAAGACCGTAATTTTTTGAAATTCGTTTCAATAGTTACGCAATTTATGCGACTTGATAGATCGAAACATTCCCATTCAGATTTTAATTTATTTTATTCACATTTCCATTTTTATCTTTTTACAATCCTTCGTAGTTATAAACCACCAAAATTTCAACTTAAAATGCAATATTATACCGCAGATAAGTTACTCCTACTAGCAGCTGTGCTTCATTGCGACCGAAGGAGTTGCTCCGCTTTCTCTCCAATTATAGTTATATGAGCCTTATAAATAGGATGGCATGTTTATATTTCTAAAATTTCTACACAACACTTACGCTGGAACTGCAGGTACATCCTGTTTCTCGCTTTTCCTTCTTCGACCTCTACGCTTCGGTTCCATGGATTTGCCCAATTCACGACTATTAGTTGATGCCACCGCAGGTTTTATGAGCGAGTGAGACCTTCCTTTCGCAGAAGTTGTCTCCTCCTCGTTCTCTTCGTCATCAAAAACAAATCTAAAGCAAAATTTCGTTGCCATCAAGAACTTCAACGAATCCCCTGGGAGCATTTTACTTTACCCATCCTGGATTTGCTATTCCACTCATTTTGTCCTTCTTCTCCTCCACCTGCTTCTCCCGTAGCTACAAACTCTTGCGTTAAAAATAATGAATGAAATAGTCGTCGCTTATAAGTTAAATCTATAATTGCTCGACCCAAGAAACACTTTTTCATCGATAAGCATATTCATTTTGATGGTTCATTGAACCTTGGATTTGATTTTTTGAGTTTTCTTAAAAACAAATGTTATACTATATATACCACATATTCGATTTTTTACATACTATATATACCACAGATATATAAAAAAATCATAACAGGGAATCATAATAGCCCTTCCGGTATATATTAGAGAATCATAACAGCCCC